ATATATATATTAAAAAATTAATAAATAAAAAACAATCAACCTATCAAAAAGCCTGACAAAGCCAAGAAAATGATTTTTATAGATTCTCAGCAAACAGCAATCTCAGTCTGAGGTAGTGAAATATAAACTTAGCGATAACACTAGCATGTCGATAATCACGACATGTAGCTGAAAATTATACAGATCATATTTTTCTGTATTAACTACTGAAAAGATAAAAACAAACAAAACAAGGATGCCTAATTAAAGCCACACATTCTCCCTCCGGTCATTCAGACCAACAAGGTTCTGCTTTTTGTTGAATAGCCTAAAGGCACAATGTCACTTTGCCTTTTTAGAAAACTTCTTAAGCCTTCTGCTCTTAGACAACAAATAAGATGTTAGCTCAAAAAAAGGCAGAGGACAGAAATCATTAAACAGACAGAGCATTGGAATTCCCAACTAATCAAATAATAGACATCATGCTGCAGACACTTGTAATCTACCAAATGGTTTGGAAAYAATAATGAAACATCGATATTATCTGGGGTAATACAAGCTATGCTCACAAGCAGAAACACAAGCAGACATCTGTCAAAGAAAATATTGGCTTTACTCACCTTTTACAATGAGGTTGAGAAGCTTTGGCCGTCGGTTCCGCTCACTTTGATACGAGCATGTGTACTGGCCGTCATCGGTTACATCCACTTTTTGTATCTGAAGGCTGTACTCGTGTTTGTCTCCAACATTGGACACTATCGAGACACGGGGGTCTATGGACCACTTGTCGTCCCCTGCGAATATGATGCTTGAGCGATTCAGCCAGGCTCCTTTAGCAATCCCATCCAACAGGTAGCACCTAAACAAGAAATACTGGGTTATTTTGCTAGAAAAAAAATTATTTGTTTTTTTATGTTTACAGTCTAAGTAGAGTTTTATCCATAAAACTGTCTGAAATGTCCTGCAAATGACTCATCACTCTCAGCAGAAGGCAGTTGTAAATCTGTGCAGTTACATCCAAATGCTGTGAGGGATTGGATGCCAGTAAAGGACTGCAGATATTGCACTTAATTTCACTGAGCACAAAGCATTAAGCTCACAACCTTATTTATTTTTTGTGTTCCATGCTGTACAGAAAGCATATTCCTCCCTAGCTTGGCACCACAGTCTGTGTCGGATGTATTTTACACCTGAGGGAGCCATGATGGCACCATGGCGGTCATTACTTGAATCTGTTGGTAGCTCATCTGTGCTAAAGATCCAGAAGCTAACAGGTGCAGGTAAAGCTAGACAAGGTCGAGGACAGGTATCTGTCAAACCAGGCTGGTGAAGTAAAGAGGAAGTTGGTGAAGTCTTTCTGTACAGTTAGTTAAACTCTGTCTTTCCGAATTAATGTAAAAAATAAAACTAAAGAAACTGTTGTGTTGCAGCAGCTATATCTATAAACAAGTTATTAACAAGTTCATTTCTAAGCTAAATTAACTAATAAAAACTGTAAAGTGTGATAGTGAGCTCAGTTTTGTTTGGCTTTGGTTTGGTTTTCTTGATTTGTCCTAGAAGGCCTCTGCGTGGTTCATCCACTCCTGTGAAATTTGCTCTCACTGATGTAGTTGTGTGACGAAAATCACATAATTTTGTTCTCAGCCTCATGTTGCCCAMCTCTTCTTCTCACAAGGGCAACTTTTTCGCCCCCCTCGGTTTATGGAATTATTGTGTGATTGGTCAGAGGTTCGTGGGCATTTGTTCATACTAATTTGGACGATCTAGCATTTAGACAGTTCAGTTTTATTCCCGCTCTTAGCCCGATGTACGTCCTGTCGCTTATAATACGTGACTAAGGGACCCGTCGTACGAGCTTTTTTACGATGATTTCTGGTAAGAATATTGAAAAACATGTCTGCATATGACAAAAAAAATAACCATTTTAAACTTTCAATTTTTATACCGCCAGATTTTTATTTAAAAAATTGTACTYCTGTCTCTCGCTTTGCCATTACAAGCAAAAATAATCTTTTGGTTGGCCTGCAGTGCATCTTGTGACAGGGTGGGCTGAGGAGGATACACCAGACCTGATCAAATCAGGGGAAAAGGAGGACGCATTTGTGGGCCGCAGAGCCTTTTAAATTTGGACAGCCTTCAGCTAGTTGCAGTGACGTAATGGGCCTTCGAATTCTACCTTCCAAAGACGCAGTCCCTGAATTTGGACTTAGCCTTAGCCTAGACTAGGGGTGTCAAATCTTGGTCTCGGAGGGTCACTATCCTGCATGTTTAAGAGGTTTCTCTCCTCCAACACACCTGATTTGAATAAATGGGTAACAGGCTTCTACAGAACATGAGGACGTAATTCAGTCACTGAGCCAGATGTGTTGGAGCAGGGACACATATGCAGCATGCTGGCCCTCAAGAATCAGGATTTAACACTCCTGGTCTAGTCCATATTTGTGTTACTTCTGCTTTTGCTCTGTAAGGTTCTCAATGTTTTGGCAGTGTTGTATAGTCTTATAATAATAGTCCTAAGTTCCACTTTCACACTGTCTCCTGTGCTTTGTTTTCTACACAGAGTCCTTTTTCAACCACTCACTTTTGACAAATAGTGCCAAAGGTTAATGTGGAAACACTGCAAATTGCTGTAGAACGGGTGCAAAGTTACACAAAAGTTTAACTAACAATGTCAAAACAGAGGTTTTTTGATGTAAAATCTAAAAAACGACCACTAAAGTAAAAGAGCAACTCCAAATTACTCAGCAGCACAGAGAAACCCTTCAGAAGGAGGGAAATGGGGGGGAAACGCAATAGTAAGCTAGAGATATAGAGAACAAGAACACTTTCCAAACACTTTATTTTAGTTAATTATGGCTTCAGACAAAGAGGGAAAAAAACTAATTATAGAATGAAGTGTGTGGTTTTTTAATTTTTTTTACCAGTGTTATCAGCTCAGTATGAGAAGCTAAAATGCATCCAGTCTCATCAGCGTGAGGTATTCATGACTGCTTCTGCATATTAAAGTTTGTGCTAAAACTCCCACTCTGAACATCCTTGGTAGCTTAGACTTTTTTTTTTCTTCCTCCAAGCGTTTTACAAATTGAGATGTTTCTTTCAGCTCCACTGAGATCGATTCTCAGGTCACAGACAGGAGGATACAGAGGAAAGGATGCTTGGACAATCTCAAAGTTTTAGATTTCTGACCTCCTGGTCACAGTTAAACGTTGAAAGCAACATTCAAGAAGAAGTAGACATTTTCTTAGAAGAATTTTTTTCAGTTGTTGCCTCATTTCTTAAACCATATTCCTTATCTTTATAGCAAGATGATACAATTAATACCTTTTCTCATGCCTTCTAATAGATCATTAAAAAGCAAACATTAATTTATATTTTTAGTTACAGAAAACCAAACTTYATAGCTAAAAAGCAAACACCTACAGCTGCGATTAATTGAATTACCTTCACTTTAAACACTTKTTTATAGAAGCAGACCTCCCTGTGACAGTGCTCTAACTGTTAATTTATTTTTAGGAATCTCACTATACAAACAAAAGAGGTCATAAAGTTCAGACGGCAATTATTTTGCTCAAAATTCCAGCACCGTCTAAAGAAATGGCATCATGCTCCGTGACAAACACTGCAATAATGAGAGGTAAAAGAGGTAATCAAGTTTGGCTCTTTAGCTGTTGTCAACGCACCATGCAAACTGCCAGCACCGGTGGAAAAGCCACCAAGGAAATCAGTTTGGCACCAACCTTAAAGCTCTTCACTTCCCATGCCAAGAAAGTGTCTGTCAGGAAGGATGGAGGACAATGGTTTTCTTGCCGAGTTCCCCTGGAGGAACTGTTGCTCTCAAAGAATTGTTACAACAACCAATAAAGGTTGAAAAGTATATATATATA